TTGTGCTGCTCCTCGTCAAACAGCTCAAACTGAACCACAGTGATGTTTGATCACAGAAACAGCAGAGAAATTCCCCAAATGGCCCAAAGCAGCTGCAGGGAGGCTCAGCAAGGCCGATCCTGGTGGAACCCATCTCCCTGCTGGGTGGCAGGCGTGGATTTCCTGCCTGGCGTGCTGCAGTTGTGTTTTCAGCGCTGGAGGAGAATTGCAGCGGGATGTAAACACCGGGATCGTGCTGGTTTGGGCTTGGTGCCACTTCCCTGTTTTGGCAAGGCACAGGGAGAGGCTGGTTTCACTTTGTGCTGCTCTGCCCCTCGCTCGCTGTGCCAGCCCTGGTGTGTCCCTGGGCTGCCTCAGGAGATCCTGGGGTTAAAAATTATAAAAATTAAAGCCCCTTCTGGAAAATGGAGATTTTAATACTGGGGTTGAAGAGGGGAGAGGAATGGGGCAGTTCCCTGGGTTTAAATTAGGAATTAAAGCCCTGTGTGGAAAATATTGAGGTTTTCATACTGGAGTTAAAGAGGGGAGAGGAATGGGGCAGTTTCCCCCATGTAAATTAGGAATTAAACCCCTGGAAAATATTGAGGTTTTCATTGCTGAGGCTGCTAGGTTTGTATTAATTAAATTAATTGTATTTGCTTTGATCCTGCAGAGGTGCAGTTGGTCCCTTCTGTTCCAGCTCTCTTGCCCAAAAAAGCAACTCCATTTCCCTTTTCAGCATTTATTTTATAACATTTTGTGTCACAGCTTTTTGTTAAAATCTGGCAGGAAGTCTAAATAAGAGAGCTCAGCTCCAAGGAAAGTACCTAAATAATGGCATTTCTGGAGGTAATTTAATCTGCCAGCCTTGGGTGCTTAACTGGGTATCCGTGTTGGGCAGAAGATTTTTGGCAGGGAGAGAGAGCAGGCTCGTTTCTATGGCAACTGAGATCATGTCGTGGATATTTGTGTGAAAAACCCGATGAGAAAATCATCTCGGAGCGAGCAGAAATTTCTCACCAGCCTCTGGAAGGAGTGGAGTTGTGTAAAGGAAGCTCAAATAAAGTCAATTTTCTGGGCATCCTTCCTTCAGGGTGATGGAATATCCCTTGGCAAACGCTGCTTAGAGCTGTTGGTTTCATGAAGAGGAAAAGTGAGCAGGTATCTGGATTTTCCCAGCTCTGGTTCAGCAGCCAGGAGAGGCAGCCCTCGCAGAGATTTGGCCTTGGACTCCTTCTCCTCACCATGACTTGTGCAGGAACCAAGGAATTGGGATAAATTCCCATCTGGATTTTATTCTGCATTCCTTTTTCCCATTATTCTGTAAGGAGCCTTCAGTCCTGAGATGATCAATGGAAGGAGGAGCCCTGGGCTCACCTGCGGGCTTGGCCAAAACCAACAAAATAACCCCAAATTGGTTAAACCCCCCTGGCTGTGAGGGCAGGGCCCTGGGATGGTGACCCTGGAGGGGAGGTGTCCCCAGGGCAGTGCCACAGCTGGGTGGCATCACCCCAGGGTGCTTCAGCTCAGGCTCAAACCCGTTAATTAGCACCCACTCAGCTGCTACAGCTGATGATTTGTAGGCTGACGGGGCAATTTGCATAAAAGGTATAAAAATAGCCTCAATTATCCAGTCCTAGCCTGTGTGTGGCACAATGTCCTTAAAGTCTCAGGGATTTGGGGGGATCTGGGGAGGGAGAAGAGCTCATTCCCAGCTCAGGGGGATCTGAGCAGGGATCAGGATGTGACAGGGATGAGGCTGGGCAGGGA